CCCCTGACCCCCTCCCCCCGCCTGCTTCTCCCCTTGATATGCCTGGCAGAACACGGGCTTTGAAGGCAGAGAGATCTGAGTTCACAGCTTCCTCCAGCCCCACGACACAGCCACGTCGTCTCATCTTTACCACGGGGACCATCCCAGAGGGTGAGCATCAGGGGCATGTGACAAACCATATGGCAAACCGGTGGTCCCTGCCCTTCTAGAGCCCAGCTCTGTTGCTGTCACTCCCTACCCCTCGCCCTCACGGTCCCCAGCACCCACCAAAACTAGAAACGGCCTCTACCCCCACCCCAACAGCACACACACATCCTGAACACCGTGACCCAGAGTCTCCTCCCATGTGCCCTCCCCTCAGCCCCTAGTGCCCCCTCTCCGTCACCCCATCCACCTTGCCTTGCTGTGACTTGAGTCCAAGCTCTGACCCACACCCAGGAGTCCCGTGAGGTGGGGCACTCTGTGATCGGTCACCCGGTAGCCACAGGGACCAGCACATGGTAGGCTGAGAACGTTCCACGGTAACTATTAGAGCAGCTGCTCCATGCCAGAGGTTGGGGTGCAACCATGACAAGACTGGCCCCACGTCTGGGTCCCTGACACTTTCCTGGTGGCCGATGGCAGTCATGATGCTGTCCCAAGTCTGCCCTCAGCACTGGGTGACCCTGGACTGGCCCCCTCTCAGAGCCTTCCTGCCAGGGTGGGATCCCCACCTTTCAAAGGGGGGACTTGGCGGTTCAGGGAGGTGTCAGCCCTTGCCTCGGGTTTGGAGTCAGAGAGAGCAGGAAGCACACCTGCTGTGGTGAGGAATTCCAGAGAGGAATTCCAGGACCCGTAAGTGAGCACAGCTCCAGCAGTCACTGGTCTCTAAGGCAGTGCTGGGCATTAGGACCTGCCAGACACCCAGAGGGTGAGAACACAGGGCCACCACCAGCCTTCCCAGAGGAGGGCGTCTCAGTGGAGACACACAGAACAAGAGGACAGAACAGGAGGAGAAAGGCATTCCAAGCAGAGTCAGTAGGGCGTGCAGAGGCCAGCCAGACCGACGTCCAGACCCTGGGACCGTCCTCTGGCGTGGGGTGCTCACTTTGAAACTGCCGGTGGCCCCCTTGGCCTTGGAGTTGAGGGGCCTGGTAAGGAGGCCACGGCTCAGGCCCGTGGCCAGGGCCTGCTTCAGCAGGTACTTGAAGCGGATGACGTCCACCGTTGGGTATTTGTGCAGGATGAAGAGTTTGATGGCCACCACCGACATGCCCCGGCCCTGCTCCCGTGTCTCCAGCGCCTCCAGCACCATGCGCAGCATGGGAGGGTTGCGGCGCCCTGCCAGGATGCCGGTGCGTCTCGGGCCTACGGGATGAACAGCAAGATGTCGCCCAAGCCAGGCCCATTCGGCAACTGACCTGGGCCGGGCACAGCTCCCAGGCACCAGCTGGACCCCATGGGAGTGGGTGAGGGGCCCAGCAAGGATCAGACACACCCCCCATTGGAGACATTGACTACGGGGCACCACTGAGGCTCAGTGAGTCTCTTTTTAAAGAATTACATATTCCTTTTAAAAAATCCTTTAGCCTGGGCACAGTGGCTCATGCCTGTAATCCCAGAACTTTGGGAGGCTGAGGCAAGAGGACTGCTTGAACCCAGGAGTTCGAGACCCGCCTGGGCAACTTGGCGAGACCTCATCTCTACAATAAATAAAAAAAATGAGCCAGGCATGGTGGTCACACCTGTAGTTCCAGCTACTTGGAAGGCTGAGGCGGAAGGAACACCTAAGCCCAGGAGGTCGAGGCTGCAATGGCCGTGAGCGTGCCAGCGTGCCACTGCACTCCAGCCTGGGCGACAGAGACTCTGACTCCAAAAAATAAAATAAAATAACTTAACTTGTGCTGATTGTCTAGCTCTAACTGTTGGTTTAAAGACCTCTGTGAGCCAGTCTCAGCGGAACCCAGACTGCGAGGGACTCTCTGGGGGACACAGCCCGGTCTCTTCCACAAATAAACAAGAGGGAAGAGGGAAGGAAGGAGTAGGAGGGGAGCCCTGTGGATCAGAGACACTTAGAAAACCTCTTGACCAAATGCCAAAAAAAAAAAAAAAAAGGCGACCAGATAAATGTGAACACTGGAAGAGACTATTGAATGGTACTAAGGAAAATGTTGTTTCAGGTGTGTTAATGATATTGCAATTAGTTTTTTTTGTTTTTTTTTTTTAGTCGGAGTCTCACTCTGTCGCCCAGACTGGAGTGCAGTGGCCGCTCCCGACCACCGCAGCCTCCACCTGCTGGACTCCGGTGATTCTTCCGCCTCAGCCTTCCGAGTAGCCAGAATTACAGGCATGTGCTACCACGCCCGGCTGATTTTTTGATGGATTGTAGAGATGAGGTCTCGCCTGCCGAGGCGGGTCATGAAGCAATTAGTTCTTAAAAGGTACTTATCTGTTAAACATAAACACTGAAGTATTTACAAATGAAATGATAAATTCAGTGTTTGCTTTGTAATAACCCAGTCATGAAAGAAGACTAGCCAGCTGGGCTCAGTGGCTCAGCCTGTAATCCCGCGCCTTTGGGAGGCTGAGGTGAGTGGATTGCCTGAGCCCACAGGTTTGAGACCCGCCTGGGCAACTTGGCAAGACCTCATCTCTACAATGAGTCAAAAATTAGCCGGGCGTGGTAGCGTGCGCATGTAGTTCCAGCTACTTGGAAGGCTGAGGCGGAAGGATCGCCGGAGCCCAGCAGGTCGAGGCTGCGGTGGCCGGGAGCGGCCACTGCACTCCAGTCTGGGCGACAGAGCGAGACTCCAATTCAAAAAAAAAAAAAAAAAAGAAAAGGAAGAAGACTAGCCATAAGCTGATGAGGGTTGAAATTGGGTGATGGGTGCAGGGGACAGGAGTCACAGACCACTCGGCGGCCTACTTGTTTTTCCTTCTGGAAGTTTTTGCAAGATCAGGCACAGTAGTCCATGCCTGTGATCCCAGAATTTTGGGAGGCCAAGAAAGGAGGATCATTTGAGCCCAGGAGGTTGAGAGCGACCCGGGCAACATAGCGAGACTTTATCTCTACAAAAAAATCAAAAGTCACCAGGCATGGTGGTGCATGCCTGTAGTTCCAGCTATCAGGAGGCTGAGGTGGAAGGATCTCTTGAGCCCAGGAATTTGAGACTATGGTGAGCCGTGATCAAGCCACTGGACTCCAGCTTGGGAGATAGTGAGATTCTGACTCAAAAATAATATAAAAGAGAAAGTTTCCATCATAAAAAGTTAAAAAAGAACTTCACTCCTAGGTATATACCCAAGAGAGATGAAAACATGTGTCTTCACAAAAGCTTGTACATGAATGTTCATAGCAGCATTATTCATATTAGTCAAAAGGTGGAAAACAGCCCAAATGTCCATGACAATAATGAATGAATGGATAAACCAGATGGGTATGTAGCCATCCAATGGGATATCATTCAGTTTTAAGATGGAAGGAAATTCTGATACATGCTACAACGTGGATAAATCCTAGAGACATGCTAAGTGAAAAACGTCACATATTGTATGACTCCATTTGTATAATATATCCAGAGTAAGCAAATCCATAGATACAGAGAGTTGATTAGCGGGGGCTGGGGATGCAGTGACTGCTCATGGGTAGGTTTTCTTTTGGAGGTGCTGAAAACATTCTAAAATTGATCGAGGAGAGGCATACCCAGCTCTGTGAATATACTAAAAGCCACTGTGCACTTTCAGTGGGTGAACTGTGTAGTATGTGAATTATTTCTCAATAAGCTGTTACAGGAAAAAATCACACATGAGCATAGGATCAAGGGTGGGGGAAGAAGTCATCGATCACACTCCATGCACGCCAGTGAGTGGACGGTAAAAATCACTGTCTCCCCTGTGACATTTTGATGAATGGGAATAAAGGATTTGTGTGACTAATCTTGGGCTGTAGTGACCCTGGCGCACTTTTGGTACTTTGTGGTATGAGTATACATGTTGTTTGATCCCTTTTTTGTTGCCCATTTCCCCTTGTTGCTGTGCTGTTCTACCGTAAAGAGGGGTAGCTAGGGTAGAACACGAACCTAGAACCCCTATGGACCTGCCGTTAGAGCTGTAGTCTTGTCAGCTTTACAGTTGTTTTCGTTTTGTTTTTTTGAGTTGGAGTCTCATTCTTGTCGCCCCGGCTGGAGTGCAGTGGCATGCTCATGGCCACCACAGCCTCCACCTGCTGGGCTCAGGCAATCCTTCTGCCTCAGGCAATCCTTCTGCCTCAGCCTTCTGAGTAACTGGAACTACAGACGCACACCACCACGCCCAGCCAGTTTTGTGATTTATTGTAGAGATGACGTCTCACCAAGTTGCCCAGGCTGGTCTTGAACTCCCAGGCTTGGGCAATCCTCTCACCTCGGCTTTCCAAAGTGCTGGGATTACAGGCTGAGCCACTGTGCCCGGCCTGTTTTACAGTTCTGACTAGACCAGTGTCTGCTCAGACAAACTTTTCCGTGGGTCTCTGAAACAAAAACTGGATGAGTTTTTCTTCTCATCTTGTTTCTGCTTCTGAGAGTTGACTCGTGACCACATAAGGGTACACTCTCTTGGTCTCTTCCATCTGGAGGGTATGAATTTTTGGGTTCACGTCAGGTAGCTAGTCTGAAAAGACTGGAAGCCGAGACATGTAATATTTTAAGCATGTTCATTTAGAATGTATCAAGCTCTTAGGGAGTTTTTGTCTTAAAATGTTCCATCTCGGGGTGGGGGTGGGGGAAGTTCCCATCTCTACAGAGCTTTTGTCATCTTTTGCTATTTTAAGTTTATTTCTGAGAGAGAATTTTGGGGGATTGCCTCCTCACATCCTCTCCAGGAATATATGGTCAAAACCTGAAAAGTTGTCACCTGGGCTTTAAAGAGGTTTTGGATTGAGCCACTATTGGAACTATTTGTATTCTATATTTATTGAAAATAAAGCTGGGCTCGGTGGCTCAGCCCGTAATCCCGTGCCTTTGGGAGGCTGAGGTGAGTGGATTGCCTGAGCCCACGGGTTCAAGACCCGCCTGGGCAACTTGGCGAGACCTCATCTCTACAATAAACCAAAAAATAAACCGGGCGTGGTAGCGCACGCCTGTAGTTCCAGCTACTTGGAAGGCTGAGGCGGAAGGATCGCTGGAGCCCAGCCGGTCGAGGCTGCGGTGGCTGGGAGGGGCCACTGCAGCACTCCAGTATGGGCGACAGAGTGAGACTCCAACTCAAAAAAAAAAAAAAAGAAAAGAAAAAAATATTTCAGAGCGCTCTTAATCTAAACAATCGGTGAAAAGGTTAAATTAGAAAAAAGACATGCCAGGCACAGTGGCTCAAGCCTGTAATCTCAGCACTTTGGGAGGCCAAGGTGAGAGGACTGCCTAAGCCCAGGGGTTTGAGACCAGCCTGGGCAACTTGGTGAGACCTCATCTCTACAATAAATAAATTTTAAAAATTAGCCAGAGTGGTAGCGTGCACCTGTAGTTCCAGCTACTTGGAAGGCTGAGGCGGAAGGATCACTGGAGCCCAGCAGGTTGAGGCTGTGGTAGTTGCGAGCATGCCACTGCACTCCAGGTTGGGTGACAGAGTGAGACTCCAACTCAAAAAAAAAAAAGAAGAAGAAGAAGAAGAAAAACATATAATAGTATTAAGGCTAGCCTTAAGAATACTCTTGACTAAATTTGGTTAGGTGTGGTGGCTCATGCCTGTAATCCCAGCATTTTAGGAGGTCAAGGTGGGAGGAGCCCTTGAGCCCAGGAGTTCAAGACCAGCCTGGGCAACAACAAGACATCATCTCTAGAAAAAATTAAAAAATTAGCCAGGCATGGTGGCGTGCACCTGTAGTCCCAGCTAATCGAGAGAGGCTGAGGTGAAAGGATCTTCTGAGTCCAAGAGGTTGAGGCTGTGGTGAGCCATGATCATGCCACGGCACTCCGGCCTGGATGACAGAGTGAGACCCCCGTCTCAGAAAATAAGTAAAATAAAAATAAACGTTTTTTTTAAACCAAAGAGATTTTTGCAAGTGTCTTATCCAAGGTTATGACTCAACCATGGACATGTGACATGTCTCCGAAGAGGTGGCAAGCAGTTTTTACAAGATCCAGAATTGTCCCAAATAGCTCCAAGAAAGAAGCATTTTGCTAGCCATAAACAAAATGCGACCCACATTTCTGTTTGGCCTTATTTCCTAAGGTCTCAGCTTCTCAGTTGATCATCTCTGTACAAAGGCCAAAAAGCCCCATATGTCCCCACAGATGGAAGACAGGAAATCAAAAGCTGTCCATGGAAAGGAAAAGGATCAAGAAATGGCAAAAGCAACACAAATATCAAGCCAGAAAGGACTCAGGCTGTAGCCA